AATTTTGGATTCCATCAATCACAAATAGATTATTAGAAATACCAGTATATATTATATTAATTGTCTCTCTTGCTAATGCATATGTTGGCTAGATTATTTAGAACGTCCAGTTTTAGCAAATTAAAATTAGTTTGATACTTAGTCTTAGTCACTGTTCTGGGTTATTTTTATTTCATATTTGCATTATGGTAGCACACAGCAGCCCTAACCCAGATCAGATCCCATTGCACTTTCCACTATACGAAGAGTGAGAGACATTTCCTGCTTCAAAGAGCGTACAGTCTATATAGACCAGATGGATAAAGGGTTCAAAAGGAAAACGGAGGCACAGAGAGTGTCTCCTGAGTCTTAGTCCAGTGCCCTATAAAGAAAAAAATAATTAGAATCCCATCTTGGATTGGAGAACCAGAACAAACCTCATAGGAAACCTATACTTAGCCAGAGGTAAGACGTGAACAGTGGCCATATTTGTCAGAACATGGAGCACGGATCTGGATATTCTGTACATGCAAGATTGCCAAAGAAAACAGCAGTGTATAACGTAAATGCTTCTGCTGTTATAGTGCTCTGAGATACACCTAATTTTTTAGGATTTTCCCCCCCCCCCCCCCAAAAGCACAGATCAGAATTGATCTCCCAGTGATTGAAAGAGATATAGACAAGCAGGTTAGGCCCAAAATTTCACATACCATAAAAATACTCTGTGCTGGTTTAGGAATATCCTGTGGATCCTAAAAACCTATTTCTGGAATCTGTTACTCCACCAAGAAACTTTTTAAAAGCAAATAATATCCACTGTAAATGCTGCTCTCCCACAAGATTTGTTTTGCTGCTGAAAAGATGGCCTTATACCCACCAAGTTAACTAATGAACTGTATTTCCTAGAATTGTGCTGACGACATTGACATTATCAGTAATGCTTATGACAACAACACAGTCAATGAAGGAAAATCCATTTGGTTTGTATTCCCTGAGAAACAGAAGGGAAAATAAATCAATTATTTGCCAAAGAGAAAAAAGGAAACGATGATAGAAAAAAATTATATCCTGGCCCTTAGAGAGCAAAAATAAGAATCAAAATATACTTTGTATTATCACTTTAAATGGCTCTAAAGGTGATTCTCGGAATAGGATATTGTGGATTTACAAGTATATTCTCTCATTACTTCCAAGTCAAATTTGCTCAGTTTTTCAGTCTAAAGATTAAGGGTGAAATCCTGGCTCCTTTGACTTCAATGGGAGTCTTGGAACCAGGATTTCACCTATAGATTCAGTGCCCATTGCACATCTACCAATGTGATATATGCCATCATGTGCCAGCAATGCCCCTCTGCCATGTACATTGGCCAAACCAGACAGTCTCTACGTAAAAGAATAAATGGACACAAATCTGACATCAGGAATTATAACATTCAAAAACCAGTAGGAGAGCACGTCAGTCTCCCTGGTCATTCAATAACAGACTTAAAAGTGGAAATTCTTCAACAAAAAAACTTCAAAAACAGACTCCAACGTGAAACTGCAGAACTGGAATTAATTTGCAAATTGGGACACCATCAAATTAGGCCTGAATAAAGGCTGGGAGTGGATGGGTCATTACAAAACCTAATTGCCCCATACTAATTTATCCCTACCGTTACTCACAGGGCTGGCTTTATGACCTGCGGGGCCAGATTCCAATACCCGGCAGCAGTCCGGGGCTTCAGCGGCACTTCGTGGCTGGGGGTCCGTTCCGGGTCTTCCGCGGCACCGAAGGACCCCCCCCCCCCGAAAAGCCCCCCAAACCCCCCGGGGAGCCCCCCCCCCCCCCGCCGAAATGCCACCGAAGACCCCCGGAGCGGGGCCCTCTTAGGCGCGGGGCCCGATTCCGGGGAATTGGGTGAATCGTCTTAAAGCCGGCCCTGGTTACTCACACCTTCTTGTCAACTGTTTGAAATGGACCACCCTCATTACCACTACAAAAGTAATTTTTCCTCCTTTGGTATTCTACTGTTAATTGAATTGTCTTTTTAGACTGACCCCCAACTTGGTAAGGCAACTCCCATCTTTTCATGTACTATGTATATATACCTGCTACTGTATTTTCCACTCCATTTATCTGATGAAGTGGGTTCTAGCCCACAAAAGCTTATGCCCAAATACATTTGTTAGTCTCTAAGGTACCACAAGGACTCCTGTTGTTTTCACTTTTCATCAGTAGATCTCAAGGCATCTTGTATTTATCCTCACAATACCCCTGTGATACAGGGAGATATTATTATCCCCATTTCTGGGCACTGATGGCCGACTCCCAAATATAGATAAACTCTTAAGTCCAGATCCTAAAAGGTATTGAAATCAATGGGAGTTAGGCACATAACTAGTCTCTAGCCCTTATGGTGACAAAGGAAATCTTCACCATATGAAATGAGCGTAAACCTACGGCATAAACCAAGCACACAAGAAAGGAGAGGCATGATCATATTATAAAGATCAATTGTGAGCAGTGTCTTGTTTTAGAGGGTGTACTTTGATTTTTGTCAGTGGATCTTGGCTAAGCAACCTTGTTCTATCCTCTCCATCCCCTCAGTGACTTCATAATATGTAGATCAGTATTCCTCAGGATGCCTACATTTGCTTTCCACAAGGTGATGCACCTGCAAGATGACAAGCAGTGCACACTGGTTGTCTGGGGTTACAGAAGACATTAGGAGAGTGCACCTGTAACACATTTCCCCACCCAAAATGGCCTCTTGCTTGGGCTTTGTGAGCTGTGTCTGCCTTGGAGTGCCATGGACTTCAATACAAGAGTTAGTTTTCTGTTTGTTTTGACCTCCCTGTGTTTTACTAATCTGAATGGCAGGTCTGTCTGTCAGTTGGGGGGAAATACTTAAGGGCAAAGTTAGCTGTCCAAATGAGGAAGCACAAAAATCCTAAAATCTCCTACCCATACGCATCATACAGCTTGAGCTTTATAAGGTGGCCCATTGCCTTGGGCTGTCTCCCCTCCCTGTGGCCTCCTCTCGCTTTTTGACTTGGCTCTGACATTGAGAAGGTTGTGCAGGTGCTGAAATACTTATGCACAGCCCATGAACAGCAAAGCAAGCAGCGCCAGAAAAGCTCAATAACGGATCGCGTCCTCCCAATTACCAGGGCCCAGGAAAACAATGCAATTAAAATGATAGATTGGCTGCACCAGCGAGCAGGGCGCACCGGGCGGCTTATTTAGCGCAGATTTTCCTTCTTCATTATAGATTGCAGCGTTTTTGACCCCCTTTCACCAACCCCCGCCTAAGGCGAGGAGCGTGGGAGCCTGGCTCCAGGGGTGTGTATGGAGGCAGCGGCTCACAGGTGCGAGCCCCGGGGAGAGGGAGGCGGGCTGCTCCCTGCTAAGGGGCTGAGTCGGCAGAATGGAGAGATGGGGCGGCAACGCGACCCGCCCTGTCCTCCCCGGCCATAACGCGGCTCCCCAGCATCTCCTCTGCCCCTAGAAGGGGGCAGGCTCGGGGAGCGCCGCACTCCCCCTTCTCGGCCCCAGCTGGGCGCCGCTGCCCCGGGGAGAGAGCGACGAGCGCTCGCGTCTCAGGAACAAAGCCCCCAGCCCCACCCAGCCCCTTTGCACCTCGCCTCCTGCCAGAGGAGCAGGGAGCCTGGGGAGAGAGACGCTCCCCAACCCCCGCTCTGTCCAGCCCGCTTGTACCGCTGCTTCAGCCCTCACAGGGGCCCGGCGAGGTCATTGTCCCCTCACAGCCCAGCCTGCTTGTGCCGCCTGGCGCTCCCCTCCTGACCTCTAGGAGGGAAAAGCGATGCACCTCCACTGCTCCGTGCCACGGATACCCTGGCGGGAGCAATGCACTCAGCCCCAGCCCCTTCGCACCACCGCCGCCCCAGGACCTTGCAAGGGGAACTGCGCCCCTTTGTAGCGCTGCTGCAGGGGGAGCCTTGCCCTGCAGCTGCACCACTAGCCGGCGCAGGGGGAGCTAGCGGTGCGCCTCCCCCGCCCCCCGGGGCCCCTTTGTGCTGCTGCTCGGATCTGCCCTAAGACACGCGGCGGATGCGTCACGGCGGAGGCGCTGCTGCTGCTAGCAACGCGCACAAGCCCATTAACCCCAAGGCAACCCATCCCCGATCGATCCTTTCCCTGCACCCAGCCTCCCGCCCCAAGCCGCTCCGGAGAGGCGTCCGAGCAGCTCCGCCATTTCCGAGCGCTGAAGCAGAAGGGCTTGGAGCATCCCCTGCCTTGCACCCACCCACCGGCCCCACACAAAGGGAAAAGGCAGAGGAGTAGCTGGGGTAAGTCCAAGCCTGTTCTTTCCCTTAGTAGCGGTTCTTTCTGCTGCTGCTCTTTGGGAGAGGGGAGGAGAGCTTCATGCCCAGCATCTCGCGGTGGGGAAGGACGCTGCGCTCCGCTCTCTCACCCACCCACCTCTCCTGGAGATGGGCACGTTCAGAGAAAGGCGAGAAGGGATGGATGCGGAGAGGGGGGCGGTGTCGCTGGACAGAGAGAGATGCAGAGATGGGGACTGTGGAAATGGATTGATGGACGGTGGGGGGGCGGGGAAGCTGTGTCGATGTAGATGGAGGGGACTGCGGGGATGGATGGATAAATTACATAGAAAGATGTTGCATTTCCACTTGATATTATTCAAGGCTTCCAGAAAGCGCTCTGGAGAGGATGCCATTCACCCTTGGACTGGGAAGAAATATACTGTTTCAATTAGTCTTCTGTTTAAAAGAAAAAGAAACACCCCCTCCCAAACTGTGACACAATTATAGCTATGCCTTCGTAATGACAATTCAGAAAGTAATAGCGATGTAAAAAAATGGAATTAGGTCACTTGAGCTCAACAGAAGAAATTTTGCCTGAAAAAACCCAAAACAAAAACGGGTTTTAGGATTTGTGTGTTTGGGGCATATTTTTGGTGCAATATGAGTTTGAGACCTATCACTATGTTGTGGTTTTCATTTTTGTGTGTGTGTATGTGTGTGTTTATAGGACTTTTTTTTTTTTTTAAATCCAGGAAGGATGGTGAAACTAGGGAATAATTTCAGTGAGAAGAGCACAAAGCAGCCCCTCTTGGAGGATGGATTTGACACTATCCCCTTGATCACACCCCTGGATGTCAATCAGCTACAGTTCCCACCTCCTGATAAGGTACAGTAGGCTACAGTTTCCACCACAGAGAATTACATCCAATCTCTTTCAAACAACAGGAGAATCGTTTGTATAATAGGCCATTTAGAAATCTCATTTATTAGAGGGCATTTTAAGGAGTGGCTATTTCTTCTTGAGAAACAAATAAATAATTAAGCCAATGACAATCATAAATATTTCAGTAAAAGTGATTTTTTTTTCATTTAATGCCATTAGTTATCATTAAAACATGTATTATAGGGTTAGATGGTACTGGAAAAAATCAGTGATAAGTACATTTAGATTTCTTTGTTGCTTTGGGGATACAATGTAGTATTTGCAAGCTTGTTCGTGATATGTTGTCACTCTTTTTATTGTATGCCCTTGTCTTCAGAATCTGTAAGGCAGCTGTGAAAATTCATTGTGGGTGAAATGTACCCCCGCTGGCTGTAAGACATCCCACAGTGTGGAAGCATTGCTTTAGAACTCCACAGGGTGTGGGCTCAGGCAAAACAGCCATGCAGGAAACTTCTGCATCACTTGTGTGTCTCAGAAGGGGCTCCGTGCTGGCCCCAGATAAGCCAACCAGAAAGGGGAAGTTGTGGATGGGATAGTGGCTGGGCTACTAGATTAATAATTAACAGATTCTGTGGTCCAAAACTCCTGAATAGGGTGTGTGTGTGGATTAGTATCTGCTGTTCCAGCCCATAGGCTGGAGTGTGGATCAAAGAAAGGTTGTACTGCCACCCCATATCCTGTCCACTTGGGGGAGAGGCTTGTATTTCACCTCCCTGACCGCAGCATAGTGGTCCCTCATGCAAAGCCTGATTATTCAAATTTTGATGCAGAAGGGCAAATACAGAAACCTCAAGATATTTTTCATTCCCTGCACAAATAATCTGATAATACTTATCAATTATGGGACATAATGGAACAGATACAAGAAAACAGTTTTTTTTCAAACATTCTTCCATTTGTATAACTTAAAAGCTTACTGGTCTCTGGCGTTGATACCTTCTGAAAAATAATATAAGCAGCCCCAAACTTGAACTGGCAAATGGTCACTAAATATATATATGGTAACAAATTTCATGGTGAGTTTTTGCTTCGTAATCTTTGAGGGCTTAGTTCTCTTCTTAGATAAATGGTAGGTATAGGTTGCATATCTTGAAAATTTCATGTGTTCTTACCCTAGAGAGAGAATATCTATAAAATTGTCTAAAAATGTTCATGTATGGTAGACAACAAGGGTCCATTTATACCCTCCATTACATGGGTGTAACTCCCATTGACATTTCTGTATAGTATGTGGTCACCACTTGGCAGGCACTTTAGATAGGATTAGCCCATAACAGCATCCTCAAAGCCCTAGAGTCCATTTCTGTCCTCAGTTACATGTGTGTAATTGCTGTACTGAGGGCAGAATTGGACCCTAAGGCTTTAAAACTGTTGTTGTGGCTGACCGTGTCTGCCAGTTGGTGAGCAGACAACCAGTTAGCAGGGTCCTGCATCCAGAGGCCAAACTTGCTGAGTGTGCACGTTATATTACTCAGTTGCTAAGCAGAGCCTTGAACCAGGAACCCCTGTGGTCCACAGGCAGCAGCTTAACCAAAATGGAGCCACTGTGGTTAATCCAGTAAGAGCTGTGCTAACTTTGTTGCTACTGGAAGTTGTTCTTTGATTAGTACATGGTCAAGTAGCACTGGGCAGTCAACAGACAACAGGAGTTGTGTGAGCAGAACCAAGGGCAAGTTATGGACTCAAATATTTGGTTAGCATTTCTTCTTTCCCCATTGCCCAACTCTGTGTGTGTGTATGTGTGTGTGTGTGTGTGTGTGTGTGTGTGTGTGTGTGTTTCCCTTCCTTTGTGCAATCATTTTACACATGAGTAGAAGAGTATTTTATAGGCCTCAATGGGTCCCTTTTGTGCCCACTTGGCCCCAGCCAGGTAAAATGCTTCTTAGCTTGTAGGCCACTGATACAGACTTAAATGTTTTATTTTCAATAGAGCTCATATTAAAGATGCCAGTAGTAGAAAGGATTGACAGAAATCAAATTCTGAAGTAGCAGTATAGTCTTGTGTAATAAATGTAAGTACATATTTCACATATCCAAGCTTATTATGCAGTTACAAAGCTCTGGTGTGGCAGTGAAGCATAAAAACTTCATGAAGAGTAGTGACTAACGCTAAGAATTTGATGGTTTTGACAGTTTCTAAATTAAAGGCTGAATTGATTTAAGTATATTTTTGGTTATGTTAAACAAAAGAAAACATTATATAACCAGGCAGATAAAACTATGTTCACTGTCAGTTGGATGTGATTTTTTTTTAAAATGCCTGAGATTATGCAATATGATGAAAGGGGGGGGGGTTAAAAAAAAATCCAAAAACCCAAGACCAATTAACTCCCGTGATGCCGTTGAACACCATTATAATCAAAATGAAGATAGGATGTATGGAAACTAGTTTCCAAAACTAAGCACATCTATGCAATATTCTAAAGATATTGTGTACGTTTGTGGCATTGGACCCAAACCATCACATGTTCAAGACACTGTTTCAGCTGTGAAAGTAGGCAAATCCCAAAGCTTTCAGTTCAGTGTCTGGCATAAGTGTCACAGTTCTGCTTTCAGAGGTGTATAGTTTCCATTGACATCAATAGGTTTCATCTAATGACAGTATTGGGCCCTAAAGCCAAAAAGGATATAGAGTTATATTCTTTGGAAGATGACAAAATATGGAACAGATCCTCAAGGCTTTGTACCAAGGGAGGATTGTGCCCAGTTTTGAATGCGATGCTATAGGGAGGATATTGAAAAGTTGTAGAAGATTGAAAATGGGGCAGAGAAGATGATGAACTATAACTTTGTGAAGGAATAAAGGAATCTAGATTTGTATTCACTAGAATTCATGAGATTAATAGGGACATGACTGAGGTATGGAATATTTTAAGGTTACGATGATGACACAGAATTGTTTGATGCGGCTTTTAGGGCCTTATGGGATTTCAGGAGAAGTCTCTTTATGGAGAAGGCCTGTGTGCAGCTAATTACCATAGGTAATTTTTTTTTTTTTTTTTTTAAGTTAGCCTGACACTTGAACAGTATCACAGCATACATGCAGAACACAGTATGTAGATAGGTAGGTGGATGGACCTATACTTCTTTCAGCCCCAGAATGCTACTGTGAAAGAATACTGCTATTGTTGCTATGTTATCATCTGCTAGTGTTTGTTTGTTTGTTTGTTTGTTTTTTAACTGACCTCTTAATTGACTATCTGATCCAGTCAATCTCTGGCTTCAAACCTCAATAGTTGAATTCCCCTGAAGCTGATAGAGATGACCATTGTGACAGACTGACAATATCCTGAACAAACCTTATGGAATTAAGATAAACTTTATTGAATTAAGCTAAATCGTATTGAATTTGGGTTAATACCTTTGGGGTACATTGTACTAAAAAGGCAATTGTGTATGTGTTGTTGTGTATCTTCTCTAGTAAGGAGGGAGAGGCTAATGTACTGCCTCTGTTATTAGCCCTTTGAAACCCGCTTCCCCAGCCTCCTCCCCAGAAAGGTGCACATATACTAGCTCAAACTGGATTTTCCAGGGACCAACAGACAAAGGAAGAGTTTTGGGATAAACAGACTGGTTTTAAACTGGCTCTTGGCCTTCTTCCTGATCCAGTAAACGGACAGGGCCCTGGTCCAGAGAGGGCCCCAATCCTTTGGGAAGGATTGGAAGGACTGGGCCTAATGAGGCCCCATAAGACTGGGTGCTTGTTCTGAGCTGAAGCTGTGATGAGCTTGTAACCAGAAGGAATCCCCTTGGGTGAGGGGTGGAAGGACTGCTCCTGACAGACTCTGTTAGGGTGATCTCTAGTAAGCTTATTAATATGTGTATAGGTGCTTTTATTGTTTTTAGTATATCTTCTCTGTAGTGCTTTTTTACCTTAAGAATAACATAGGCTTGCATAGGAAGTGTTGTGTGGTACCTTATAATGGTAGCAATTACACCTGGTAACAGTCTCTGAAGAGAAAGCAAGTAGGTGTCCTTGGGCAACCTGTCTGTGCTGGGAGTAACACAGTTAAGGCAGGGAACTGTGCAGCCTGGAAATACCCTGGTCAGAAGGGAGAGAGATGTGGATTGTCACCCAGAAGGACAACAGCTGGGAAGCTGAAAGCCGGAGAGTAGGTGCCCTTGCTGGACCAGTGAGGGGAAATACAGGTGCAGTTGCCCTGAACTGTGACCGTTATATCTGCTCTTAAAATATACTAAAGGAAAGGGAAAAAAATCAGCATCACATCATATTTGATCTTAACCAATAGTGGATTGAACTAACCAATTACATTTCTGATGTGCTTACATGCACATACACCCCTATGCATAAATAAAATATAGCGTTTAAACAAAACCAACCATTTGTGGAATAGTCTTTCTATTATATACTCCCTTCAGCTTCCTCAAAAACACATGAAAGGGATATTCGTCAGTATTTGCTAGTTGAAAAAGGGTAAAATTGATAGGAAGGATATTTTAATTTTCATGTCCTCCATGAGGGAATTATATGTAATAGGAAGAATTACTTAGTTAGCATCAGTGGTGTGTTTGATGCCAGTGAAAGTAGATAAAATGAATAAAAAAATTACTTGGTGGTTGTGACCCAAAGCACCCCTGCATTTACACCCTACACACTATTGTAATAATATTTGCACAAAATATGCCTTATGAGGTATCATTTGAAAACTAATAACTCACTCATTAATATTCTTGTATGATGTAAGTATGCAATGGGTATTAAGAATTATGAATCTATGCTGCAATTATAACTAAGAGTATAAACCAGGTGTGTGGGGGAGTTGTTAAACAGGTATCCTGAACAAAGGAATTTGTGTTTCCATCAATTTACATATAAGCAGTAAATAGGCCCAACAAGCTAACAAGAGGTGGAGGAAAACACATTTAACAAGTGGGGACGAAGACAGGATGGTGTCTACACCCCGCAGAAGAGAGAAGCTTGGTCTGGGTTTTACTTTTCAGAAGAATCCATTTCAAAGGTTTGCTAGCCTATACAGACAGGGGAGCTGTACCTCAAGTGATAAGCAATTGAATCAACCAATTGAATGCAATATTAATGCATCATGTAAGGTCTTTTATGAATGCATACCCAAATAGGAGGGACTGTCACAGCTGTCAACCTGTCCCTATGTAAATTAAGCATGGTGGAATCAAACAATAGAAGCCCACAGGAAGGGAAGAACAGTATGAGGTCATCCTGCCTCTTGAAACAAGTTCATTGGACTTTGGAAGATAGAGTAAAGATGGAAGCCATCTTTGGCATCCACCACTAGATGGACACAAGAGGCCAGAGTTCTTGCAAGCTGAGAAAGATGGGTCTTAAAACCAAGGCAGGGAGGAGTTTGGAACTGAATATAAGTGGGAAACCTGCTTAGGCAAAGATCTTTAATCTAATGAGACAAGGGAAGCCAATGCCTTGTATTTTTGTGGAAGGTGCTGACTGAGGGAAAGTCAGCCAAGACTTGAAGAAGAAGGATTGGTTAGCATAGGTGCTGGAAATATGGGGGGGAGGGTGTGCTGCAGCAACCCCTCGCTTGAAGTGGCTTCCATTATAAACAGGGTTTACAGTTTGGTTCAATGGCTCTCAGCATCCCTACTATAAAAATTGTTCCAGCACCCCTGCTAGTGAGAGAAACTATATTGAATAAAGCCTGTATCTTGCTAGATTAAGTTTTAGGCTTTTAGAAGCATATTTAGTTTTGTTTTACTTGTGTAACTCTTTCTATCTTCTCTCCTTATATTTGAACTCACTTAACCTATGTTATTTTGTTAATTTTTTTCATTTTTACTCAGTGCTGTGTTTAAAGGGAAGTGTGTATTTACCCTGGTTAGCTTAATAAACTGTGATGTTGTTTTGTGTCTTTAGAGGAATAAACAAACAATATTATTTCTCTGAACTGTCCAGAAGAAGGCTGGACATTGCAAGGCACACGGTTTTGGGAAAACTTGGGACTGGGAGTGTGCTGGGGTCACCCTGCAAGTAGTAACCAAGACTGGTGGAAGCCAGAGTGAAGCTATTGACAGGTTGCTGGGGTCAGAGCTGCTGAACCAGGGCGGTCTAGCACACAGACAATCTGGGTGTGATCTGCATGCTGGTAGGCTAGTTTTGAGCGGCCCAGGTTGGAAGTTACAACAGGAAAGCATTGTGAGGCACCCAAGGTTACAGGGCAGGTAGTGACAACTCCTCACTGGTCCAGATTGCACCCCAGAATGTGACAATGGTATCCTTTTAATTGTATTGGGAAATTTACATTATTTCATATGTAAAGCTACGACCAAGAATACTCCTATGTCAGTGCAAAGCTAGTTGTTTTTAGGAAATAAGTCTTAGGGTGTGCTGATCTAACTAGTAATCACTTTTTGTTGTTGATGTTTTTGATAAGGTTGTGGTCAAAACAAAAACAGAATATGAACCTGATCGCAAGAAAGGAAAATTTCGTACCCCCAAGATAGCTGAATTCACAATCAGCATCACTGAAGGAGTTTCGGAAAGATTTAAGGTAAGCAAGGCTATCTATGCTGTTAATAACTCAATTGCTGTTACAGAACTACACTCAATCAATTACCAACTGTAGTCAAAGAAAACTGGATTTAAAGAACAAAGATATGGCAGAAAATTAAAAAAAAAATTGAGTGCAATTACAGTATCTCGGCATTAGTAATAAGGACTGCAAGAGTTGGTCCTAACATCCAGGTACTTCACTCATTACTTTGACAAAAATCCCATTGAAGTTTCAGTCAATGGAAGTTCAGCATGATTAAGTGGCGAGTATCTTATGGACATGTAACTCCCATTATGTGACTAATACTCCCATTAGCTTTAGAGGAGAAGTACTATACAGGCATGCACTTTCTGTTTTGCCTTTTTTTTTTTTTTTTTTTTTTTTTACCCTATCAAACACATTCTTTTAAAGGAGAAGTCTTTTTCCCAATATTTTTCCTTGTGATGGTTGATGGTTTTGAAGGCACTGAGTGATTTGATGGCTCAGAGAATTAGTAACAGAGCTGTTTGCCACCAGCTTACTGGTTCAAATTTATCCCCTAGTATGGTGATGTATAAAAACTGTTACCATCTGATGCCTGTTCAGTGAAAGTGGGGGTTCTAAGTCCATTCCTTGGTGAAAATGTGTCCACGTCATAGTAACTCCCTTTGTAGGTAGTCTGACAGAGACTAGGGTTACCATTCGTCTGGATTCTGCTGGACATGTCCGGCTTTTTTGAGTTAAAAATAGCGTCCGGGGGGAATTTGTAAATGTCTGGATTTCCCCCCCATGCAGAGCGCGCGCGGCTGACAGGGCAGCTGGCCGGATCATGACACTCGCACGGGGCTCTAGAGCCCCTCCTCCGCTTCCCCCTCCTCTCCCCTGCAACTTGAGATCACTCCCCTCCTCTCTCTCCCTCCCTCCCCCTCCCTGCATTTGCGGATCGCCGGCCGGCCATTCGCCTTGGGCCTCCTGCAGTCTGGAGCTCCTCCCCCTCCCCTGCTGCCCAGCATGCTGCTCCGCAGCACTCTGTTCTGAGCGGCACGGTAAGGGGGCCAGGGGGTCGGAGAAGGGGCAGGGAGATTCTGGAGGGGGCAGTCAAGAGACAGGGTTGGATGGGTTGGGAGTTTGGGGGGGGCTGTCTGGGGGTTGGGGGTGTAAGGTTTTGGGCAGTCAGGGTACAGGTAGGGGGTAGGGTCCTAGGGGAGCAGTTAGGGTGGGGGGGGGTCTCAGGAGGGGGCAGTTAGGGGACAAGGAACAGGGAGGCTTAGATAGGGGGTGGGGTTTTGGAGGGCAGTTAGGAGCAGGGGTCCCAGGAGGGGGCAGTCAGGGGACAGGGAGCAGAGGGGTTTAGATGGGTCGGGAGTTCTGGGGGGGGCTGTCAGGGGGTGTGGAGTGGTTGGATGGGGCGTGGGAGTCCCTGGTGTCTGTCTGGGGGTGGGGGTGTGGATAAGGGTTGGGGCAGTCAGGGGACAGGTAGTGGGTAGGATCCTAGGGGGGCAGTTAGGATGGGGGGAGGGTCTCAGGAGGGGGCAGTCAGGGGACAGGTAGGGGGTAGGGTCCTAGGGGGCCAGTTAGGATGGAGGGAAGGTCTCAGGACGGGGCAGTCAGGGGACAAGGAGTGGGGAGGAGGGTTGGAGGTTCTGAGGGGGGTGGGAAGTGGGAGGGAGTGGAAGGGGCAGGGGCGGGGCTAGGGCAGGACGGGGGTGGGGCTAGGGCGGGGCTCCTCCCGTCCTCTTTTTTGATTGTTGAAATATGGTAACCCTAACAGAGACATAGGACTTAATGGATGAAAAGGTTTGAATCATTCCACCCCCCCTTTCCCTCCCCCAGGATAGGGTTCCTTGAGCCATATTAGCAAGGCAAAGTGATGAAATGTCAGCAGCAAGGCAAGCTTCTGTCAAACTTCAGTTTCCTGTGCTGTCTGTCTGGCACCTTGCACAGGCATTAAGTTCAGTCAGAAAACATCTTAAAATATTTAGTATGTGATGGCAGTTTAGTGCACAGACTAAAACATGGCTGGAAGGTTTAAGGTTTAGTTTGGAGATAAAATGCTGAGCTGAAATAAAGAACCATATTCTTTTCCCAATGCACATGTGTAACTCCCATTAGTGTTAATGGGAGTTTTGTGGGCACGTCAAGAAAAGAGCATACTCTTTAGCATGCAGAATAGAACACAGCAACCACGCATGAACAATGATTCTGAAAGTTCTTTGGGCCAAAAGCTGCCCTCAGAAATGTACAGGTAGCTTTCACTGAAATCAAAGCAAGCTGTATGCATATAGCCAACAGTGGAATTGGAGCCTTTGTGCCTGTGTTGAGAGAGAGCTGAGCAAAGAAGACCTCTCTAAGCAACAAGTAAATTGCTTGTCATACTGTTGTGTAGTCATTTCTAATTTGTAGGGCTGATTAGTTAGAAGCGAGAGCATTTTTATGTTGCATTTTTATGTACCTTTGAATGGCGTACTTGAAACAAAATGTCTTTTAGATATGACTTTACAATTACCTCTCTGGGATTAATCTCAAACTACAGGGTTGCTAGGTAGTGCTGCTAGGTAACTGCTGCATCAGAGAGAGGTTTCTGTAAGATTTTTGTATCTCTGGGGGATTGCATGATGAATCACACTATGGCTGTATGTCTAGGTTTCTGAAGGGAGGGTGTGAGGGGTGACCAATTAGGAAAATTGAAGTTTAGTTAATAGAAAACAGTAGTTTCATACAGAACAATCAGGCCCTAAAAATGTCCCTCAATTTCCTTATAGCAGGGTTAGGATTAAGTTATGCTGCTTCGTAACATTTTAGAAAACACTGACTGCTTCTCCAGCAGAGACAATTGTTATATTCACCACTCCCAGTAGTAAACAGTTCATGAATAATTGATGAAATTTCATAAATATGCAGATGAAAAGAAGAGATTGTTGTGGGGTTTTCTCCTGGGTCCTTATTAATTGTGAACCATCGTGTTAACTGCCGCTGTTGATTCTGAGAGAGCAAAAGGATGTTTGTTTGAAAGTTAAATATTTGCTATAATTATAAAATGCATTATTTAACTGGTGGTATATTGACTTTGGCTGGTGTGCATGGAAAAAGCTTCAGAAGCTGTTTTAATGACTTTAATATTGTACATCAGCTATGGATATGCTTTCTGCAAACTAAAAACATAATGTTGCACTAAAAATATAAACAAATATATTTACTAATAATTCACATGTGTATTCCAAGATGTAGTCCTTAAATAAGGACAAAGCAGATTGTATTTTGGGGATTCAGTAGTGCAGATCATCTAAAGCTGTGCTTCTTAAGAAGTTCTACATTATGACAAACTAAGCAGCCAGCATGTGCATATGTCAGGTAGCTCATTTGTTTCAGCAGTTGGGTGAATAAGAAGTTATAAAATATATTCTCTGCATTCCGACTACACTATTCTATTTATATTCTATTCTATGAATTATGATAGAGCTGAAATTGTTATAGAGTAGATTTTAAAGTGTAATTTTTCCCTAAAGCCCAATTAGATGTATACAGTCAGATTCGCATCTCAGTTACTTCAATGCAACTGAAATCAGAATTTGGTTCAAGTGTCCAAAATGGACAGAATATGAACATTGTCTGTATATGAGAATCCTATTCTAGTTTTCTGCAAGTAACCACTCCGGTATGGACATGAATTTAAATGGCTAGTTTAGAGTGTGAATAGATGTCTGTGGAACTACTGTAGGGAAATATGAGGAATTGTTCTGTCACCTTTGGAAAGCCAGCTTCAATTGAATTACATGTAGAGGTTTTTATCTAGTCTCCAACAAGCGTCCACAACACAGAATCACTACACATAGTTCAGCATGGCTGGCAGTCTCTGCTCAGAACAGACCTATGGTGGGAATTGTGGGGAGAGGAAGAAGCTATTGCAGGTCAGAATTGACTCATTGACTTCAATGGAGCCAGGATTTCACACTAGATGTTCGATATTCCTCCCATTGAACACTGGTATAGTGATTCACACACTGTCGCCGCACACAACAGTTTCAGAAATAATGTGGTACACTAGAGCACAATTGAAAGATGATGCTTTTACCTTTTGTGAAATAAACCTTGGTAGAGAAACACTTACTTTCCAAATAATTTAAACTGTAAATGTTTGTTTTCCCCAATACATTCCAATGTACTACACTTTTTAAAAAAATTGTAGTACATTTTATAATCCATGTGGTACTTACAAAGGCAAATGAATTGTTCGGACATTATCCTTGACATCTATGCACATGTCAAACTACGCAGCCAAAGCCCGAAGCCTATTTGCAGCACAACCATATGGTGCAAGTCATGTGCTATCAAGTAACAAACAGTTGTTTAAATGTTTACACGTGGTTATGGAAAAGCAAAAGAGGCATCCTCCTAAGAAAAAACAGTTTTCATTATTCAAATCCTACAGTTTAGTATCTTTTCCTACTGTTTCAATAAGCGATTTTAATAGATGGAAGAAATGCAAGTGTATAAAACATACTTAAAGGTTTCATTATTGAAGGAATAGAATCAATTTAAGAATAACACTTCTGTCTGAAGAGAGACAAGGTGGGTGAGGTAATATCTTTTCTTGAACCAGTCTCTGTTGGTGGAAGAGACAAGGTTTCAAGCTTCATAGAGCTCTTCTTCAGAGCTCTAATGAAGAAGAGTTCTGGGAAGCTTGTCTTTTCCACCAACAGAAGTTGGTCCAAGAAAAGCTATTACCTCACCCACCTTGTCTCTTCATATCCTGGGACCAACACAGCTACAACACTGCAAACAACTTTTTATCTAAAAACTTTTTGCCAGCTGTTCCTATTCGTAACGCCTAAAGTTTCTGTAACTGAAAAAGAGACAAGAAAAATATATTTCTATTTTTTTTTTTGTTTACTTTGTGGATTTCATGACACATTGGCCCCAATTCAACAAAGCATGTAAGTACATGAGTAATCCCATCCCTATTCAGCAAAACACTTGTTTAAAGATAAGCATGTGCTTAACTGCCTTTGTGCCTAGTC